ACTCCAGAACCTTCCCCCCCCCCCTTCCAATGCTTACATACAGAGACACAGTTAATACGTCAAAACCAACAATGAAGAATCTTTTTTCCCTATTCTCTTTCCTCTCGGCAGTACAATACCGTACAGTAACTGTACCCCCCGAGGTGGCTGACCGGGTCCATATTTCATTTCGGATGGCATCCCAAGACCCCTCTTCCAACAGATATATCCGTACACTGAGCGAAGCAGGTATGCTATCATACCGAAATATTTCTTCCGACGCAATCTCGTCATGGGGGTGCCGGCGCTGTGTGTGCGGCTAGTAGTTATGTAGCGACAATGGCACGAGTGATTTCGAGTGATTTCCGGTTTCGGATCACATACCGGTATGATACTGTGATTTACAGTACTTGCGCAGGGGTATATTGGTTCTTGACAGCTCAGCCGATGGACCGTCTGGGGAGTTCACATGATGTTACCGCGGGAATAGACACTCATCCTACTAACAGGCAGGCTTGGATTTTTTTTTTTTCTAGTTTGGGTTTGAGGCAGCAGTTCAGCGGTTGATGGATCCGTTCTCGGGAGAAGAGAGAGGTTATGCGGTAGAGTACCAGCTCAAAGTGTTTCGCCCGATTGGTGATTACCGAATGATACCTTGGGAAACCCCACCCCTGCGATCACCGATAAGAAGTGCTATATAAAGCTCATTCAGGGGTAACCAAAGACTTTGCAATCTGTAATAAAAATAAGGGTTCACTAATCCCCATTTCTCAGAAAATTGTAGACAGATTTGTACGCATTAAGATTTTGGAGGATCCTCTAGTTGCTACCTGAGAAGCGGTAGAAGAGACAGTTGGGGAATCCTATACTTCAGCAGGAGGTTGTGAAGATACATAAATGTCTAGCAGAAGCTCTCGGTGTACGAGTATTATAGCTTGGACTCAAAGTGGGTTTTTCGAAGAATTATTGTGGGAGCCTATCCCCGGAACGCCAGCCAGTGTTGAATGCAAAAGGGTAGTACACAAGATAATGATTCTTTTTGCATTGTAATTTTACATAATTGTTTGCTTTACATTATTTATTTATTGTCATTCTCAATTTTGATTACGTTGCGAGTACTAGTAGTTGTGGTTGAATAGGTATTACAGCCAACAGAGTTGGTTGGATGGAGGGTTGTCGTTGCAGCATCGACAGAACGCTTTGGGCGGCTGCTTTAGATATGGATTGCTGGTTTGTGACAGCAAGATACCCTACGAACTTGAGGGAACAATCGCAGCGGGAGTATTGGTGATGAGGAAGGGTAGGTTTTGCTGGGAGTAGGACGGGATTTTGGATAAGTGTATCATGGGGGCACTACTGCATTCCCAACTAGCGGTAATTCCGTTTAGGGCATTGTACTGTAACTTACCCCACTTTAGAGACGGGCGTGACGAGCCTACAACCACAAGCGGACTACTCTGGCTTCCCAGAGCCACGAATTAGGCTCCATGCACGAACATCGTACTCCAATGATGCCATCAAATCTGCACTCACTCACTCCTTTAGGAAATGCACAAATTACTATTTTGATGTTACATCTCTGCCGTTCACAGAAAGATCGTGAACCCCCTCCATCCCAATCCATAGAACAAGTACGAGGAAAGGATAATGAACCGAGAAAGAAAAAAAAAAGAAAAATCTAGACGAAACTAATGTACTAGAACGTGAAGGATGTGAAGGGGAAAGATCCAAAAGAGAAAAAGAGAAAAAGCGAAACATCGCTATAAATTCATGCCAACCCCAGTTTTAGTTTTTTTTTGCCCTGGAGCGTCTACTCTTCGTCTTCTGCGTCTTCTTCCGCAACCTATTTATTTGTGAGCGCCAGATTTTGAAGGGTGGAAAAAAAGGGGGGGGGCAACACATACATCATCGTGGAAAGTCTTCCCTTCGGTGGTTGGCTTGATCATACCAATCCTGATACAAAAGTCTCCGAACCGTTCCCCGTCCTGACGTTCAAGGGCATACCTCTTAAATAGAGGTTTTAAGATCTCAAGAATTTCTTCCTCCTTGATGGAGCTACGGTATAGCTTGTTCAAGCGTTGCCCGTGGTATCCACCGCCGAGGTACATATTATATGCGCCAAACGCTTTTCCAACGAACGCTACCTCCGCTAGCCATGGGCGTGCGCATCCGTTTGGGCACCCAGTCATGCGCATTACGATGCTATCGTGGCGCAGGCCGCTTTCTTCTAGGACGCCTTCGAGCTTGGAGATTAGGATAGGTAGGTATCGCTCTGACTCCGCCATCGCAAGACCACAAGTCGGGAACGCGACGCACGCGCTTGAGGATAGGCGGAGTCCAGAGAATTGGAGGTTGTCGAGCCTGTATTTTGCCATAAGGTCCCTCATGCCCTCGAGATCGGCGTCTTCCACGCTACTGAGGATTAGGTGCTGATTACCCGTGAGGCGGAACTCACCCTTGTGCACCTTTGCGATCTCGCGGAGTCCAGTTTTCATCGGAAACTCGGGGGTGTCCTCGATACGACCATTCTCGATGAAGAAGGTGAAGTGGTTCTTGCCATTTTCGTCCACTTGCCAACCGAAGGTGTCAATGTTGCTGTGGAACTTGAATGGACGAGCTTCTTCCAGCTTCCAGGTTAACAGATCCTCGACTTTGCTCTTGAATACCTTGACGCCCATGTCGTCGATGGTGTACTTTAGCCTGGCGTGCTTGCGGTTGTTACGGTCCCCGTTGTCGCGCTGGACGAGCATAATCTTCTCGCAGACAAGATGGATTTTGTCGAGTGGTGCGTATCCGAGCATACTTCCAGTTCGGGGATACGTTTTCTTGTTATTATGTGTGACGCCCATGCCACCTCCGGCTAGGACGTTGAATCCGGAGAGCTTTCCATCTCCACCCTTAATAGCAATCAAACCGATATCATGGGCATAGACGTCAGTATCGTTGTGGGGAGGGATGGCGATAGTGATTTTGAACTTTCTAGGAAGATAGGTAGGTCCGTACAACGGTTCGTGGTCAACAATAGCATCACCAGCAACTTGAACCTTCTTGTCATCGTCGTCTGTTAACCAGATTTCGTGATAGGCTGTGGTGGAAGGGAGAAGATGGTTGCTGATGCGGATTGCTGCCTCGTGGGCCTGCGCATGGAGCGCAGAGTGTTGGGGCAGACTGCTGCACATGACGTTTCGATTTACATCTCCGCAAGCAGCAATAGTAGTCATGAGTGCCCTGTTAATCGCTTGCATAGTGGACTTTAATTTCCGTTTGATGACTCCGTGGAACTACTACCGTTAGTATCCGTGAGTTGCGGCAACGAATAATATGTGGGGAACATACCTGGAAGGTTTGTCGGGTGGTCAATTTCATGGTCTGATTTCCGAATTCATTGCTGATATCATCCATTTTGATCCACTGCTCTGGAGTAGCAACACCAGAGGACAATCGGCATCTAATCATAAAGGAATATGCGGGCTCAAGTCCTTGAGACTTACGCTCGTCTCTCAGATCTCTGTCGTCCTGCATGTAGGTTCCGTGGAACTTTGTGAGCTGCTGGTCACTAGCGGATATCGCGCCGGTGCTTTCGTCCTTCAATCCCTCAGCAATGGTACCGCGAAGGAAGTTGGAGGCGATCTTGATATCCTCGTTAGTAATTGGGGGAGGATCATCGGGGAGCCCGTCAACATTATCCACACCAAGAGCTTTCCACAGCCTGGGCTCCCACTCTGAATAGGCGGTCTGGTAGCCATCCGGATCTTGATCGTCTCCAAGGCCCGTGTCTACCAACTTCCTTCCACCCAGGTCGGCAAGTCTCTTGTCAAGGTCCTTCCCAGGCTTGTTGTAGTAGTGTTTGTCTTCCTTGCGCGGCCAGTAATGGCTATCGCCGAGAGCAAAAACGGTATAGTTAACAGTTGCTAAATCTAAGTCAGTCGAATTTTTTACGGTCTCCCAGAAGTTTCGCCCGTTCTGGGGGAATTCTCCTTGGCCAGCGGTAGATGTAATGAGAACAAGATTTTCCTCCGTCGATAGATCTTCAATTGGGTAATCTTCCATCGCCAAAACCAAGGTCTTTAATCCCCGGGCCTTTCCGCGTCTCCCGAGCCTTTGAGCAAGGCCTTCAGCATTTCCACCATCGGATGCGAAAAGAATTGTCAATGGGGGCCCAGAAAGTCCCTCCAAGAGCTTGTTAAACGCATCCTTCGCCTTTCGTTTCTGTTGTTGCCGGACTTCGGTACCGTAAGAACCAGAAAGGTTTGCCGCAAACTGGGGGTTTCTCTTAACCAGTTGAGAGAGGTGATTATCTCTCTTAAGGAACTCTTGCAACTCTTTCTTCAACCTCTCGGAATCAAGGCTAAATTTCTTCTCATCCTTCTCTCCTCTGGGATTCCAGCGGTACAATGGCCAATAACCGATATCCACGGCTTTCTTGGTCTCTTGTAGAACGGTGAGAGGTGAATCGTTCTCCTTGTTGTATGGCAGGTAGGCAACCACAACGGAAGGCCCGTCAAACTTATCCGCCTCAAGCATGGCATGTAGCACTTGCGTGTAGGAGCTGTAAACGGCGACCGAAGCAACGAACGAATTCCCAAAGTTCATGGCATAAAGTCCGACATCTTTCTTCCTTCGCGAAGCATCGGCCGCAGCGTGCTCTGAGTATGGCTGGGAATCAATAACAAGCATGTTGATATTCTTTCCCGAAGCGATGACGTGGTGAACCCCCGAGTTACCAAGATCATAGGACCAGGCGTCAGATCCAATAAGCCAATGAGACTCCTTGTAGAAAAGGTCCTTGTCGGAAAGCAAGCTGTACGCGGCGGGGGATCCATCGACCATCAATCGCATGATGATTCCGGGCACTAGTGCTCCACTCTTTGACTCGTCATCTGCGACGAGGAGCCATTTGGAGAGCCACTCGGCAGGGATGCGAGTAGTGAAGTCATTTGACTTTGCCAAATTCTCAACCCTCTCGATGAAGGTCTGGCGTCTCTCCATCCGTGCTAGCAGGGAGCCATAACCGTATTCAGGGCTTGCAGTAATGGTGGCGGAGATACCGGCGTTAGGTTTATCGAGGGAATTGGCGATATGCAATCGCTTTCCGAACAGCTGGTCAAGGATCTTCATATACGCTGCCTCGATAGCCGGTTGGCTGATGCTGTGCCCAACATCAGTCGGAACACCTTCCAGCCCAACTGAGAGGTTCTGCACAGGCGATTCAGACTTCAAATTCTGGACAACTCCACGTAGAGCCTGACTTGCTGTATCGGGGGTAATGAAACCCAGTTGATGTCCAACGACGACCGGTGCACCCTTGAGGGCTGGGCCAGTGCGCAGACAAGTGAGCAGATCCAAGAACAAAGGCCCCCACTTGGTGGTCTTCTTCTTGATCTGTTCGAGAACAGCAATCTTACTGATGCTCTTGGGGATGACCTCGGTTAATTTCGTACCAAACCAAGGGCGGTAGAGTCTAGCGGTAATCACGCCGACTCTCGAGTAATCATCTCCCGGAGTCCTCTTGATCGTAGAGCGGAACAAGCCTGTTGTAGACCCGAAGACGAAGAGTGCGACATCGGCATTGCGGGGTCCAGTGTACTCGAAGACATTGTAGGAACGGCCAGTGACCTGCTTGATGACCTCAAAGATGGTAGAGGCGTGCTTGTGAATGTCGTCGGAGGAGATTGGGCGGCTCTCGATCGCATCGTGCAAAGAGCCGATAGAGGTGAGTGATGGGCGGGTGCTGTTCTCATCCGCTGTGCTGGTGCCGTTGCTAGAGGGTTCAATTCCTGATGCTTCACTTGCGGGTGTAACAAGTCCGCTCGCGTGACCGTTCGTTCCCACCGCAACTGACGCAATTGAGTTGCTGGTCTGTGCCACTACGCCGTCGTCCGCATACAGGCTTGTCGAGACGATCTTGCCAGATTGATATGTTCTCGCGGCGGCGCGATCAAGTGCCCGGCCTAGCAGGACGGTATCCTCGTTTGAAATCTCTGAATCATCGGATGACGAAGCAAAGAAGTGCACGACGGCTTTCCCGGTTTTGACTGCCAACCCGTGGGCCGCGACGGCCATATCCTGCGCTTCCTGTGTGGACTCGGACTGAAGCAGAATCAGACCGGTCTGCCGGATAGAGGTGATCTCGGAGTAATCCGGGAAGTCTGACGGCTGCAGCGAGACATGAATTACGACGGGATAGTTGATCAACTTGTATAAGTGGGGTATCGAAGAAAGAAGAATGCTAGAAGTCGCTGTTACAGATACGAGCTTTCCCGAACGAGCCGGCTGGAACACTGAGAGCAATGGGTCGGCATTTTGACGAACGGTTTGAATCTGGCCGAAAACAAATCAGTGCCTGCCTACGAGCCTGCCCAGGGCATCCCCATGCATACCTCAGGGACACCATTCGACGCCGTGAGGGTGCCTTTAACTCCACCCGATGATAGTTCCTCCAACTTCGAACTAAACGCTGAAGCATTGCTCAGGGTAGGCTGTACGGAAATAACCACATCGCTAGATAAGTATGCGATTCTCGCGACTGTCCCTCCAATCAACAAACATGCTTCAAAGTAACCGTCAAGGGACACAATTCGGGGGGGGGTCAAATACCGGCCTCCTCAGGAGTCTTTACAGAACCAGCCACCATTCTTGCTGCTCAGCAACGAAGGCTGAAGTATTCAACAGGAGTGATAGCGGGGGAAGGAGTTTGATCTCCAGAAATTTTTAAATTATCCCTCCCAGAGCCTTTCCCTTCGTGCCACCTTGGAATCGGGTGGTAAATGATCTATTTGGCGGTCTTATGATTGGAGGGAGGGAATGCCAAGCTATGGCGTGATGGGAACAAATTTTGCGGGCAACCCCACCACCGACGGCCATTCCGAAATATCCCCACACCGTTTACGTACAAGCCTTTCGGGATGTCTGGCTGCTGGCTATTAAGTTATATAGGGGGCGCAAGTGTTGGTGCAGTACTCGAGTACCGAATTCTCGTCCATAACGGGCAAAGTGTCTCCGTAGACTAAAGCTCAACATTTGAGAAGAGATGCGATGCCGTCTGTGGAAAGGTTCCCATTCTCATAACCGTGGAAAACTATTGATTGGACCGCGCGTTAAGACGTCCAGAATTTCTTCCTTTGGGTTAGGGTGAGGAAAGAGTAGCGAAAAAACTGTGTCTCTCCGTTTTCGAGAGGCAGTTCCAACGTCCTAGTGGGGTCTAATTTTCCGTGATGATTGTTCCTACGCCATCACGGGCATGGTAGCCCCCACTTGAGGATCGATTACGGACATTGAGCGCAGCCAGGTGCTCTCTTGTCTCGACCACAGTTCTCGTGGCTGTTTACAAATCCATATCCTGTGGGAAATTATCCCATTCCCGTATCCAATCTGCCGGTAATATGAGCTATTATATGTGTGTGTGTACTGTACGAGTACCGGTGCTCCATGCTGTTATACGAAGGCCGGTGTGGTAAATAAAGTCATCACTGAAAGCCGTTAATCCCGAAAAACAACGGGGCGAGCTCTGGTCTCCTCTTCTAACGTACCGGGCTCGTTCATGGTATCATACGGTCGCACCCCGTTGTCCTGGACGGTCAAACCCCTAAGAATCCGGGATAATAGGCCAGGTTTTGGTGTATCATAGAGAGATTCATCCGGGACGGCGAAGAATCCGGAGGGGGAGGCGGGATCCGGGACAACGGGGTGTGACCGCATGAGACTATGCGATGCATGATGCAACCACGGCATCCCCACGATGGTGCCATACCCCGATCTAGCCCCGTGCCCTCTCTGAATGCTTAGGAATCACTTATGACCTTGCCATCGTCATGTTTGAGCTGGTAGCTAAGCACCGGTATTGGTGTGCCTTCTCGCCTCAATGGTTTCTGGTGTAATTTGCCGCAATATGTTATCATACCAACTTTTTTTGGCATCGGTACGGGCAGGGCACGGCGCCCGGTTCGGAATACAGAGTACTCGTACTCGAGTACATTATTGGCATTATACCCGCGAACGAATCCATGGCAGGAATGGTAGGCGTAATACAGTACTCGAGTATCCCGGATAGGCCAGAAGTTCTATCATAATATTATCATGCTTCCCTCGCGGGGAGTACCGTGGCATCGGAGGCCCAGACTCGCACTCTCCGCAGATTGGGAATGGGCTGGGTTTCCGGGGCTAAATTAGGTATTATAAGACAGCCCAACCAAGGGACCTTGCATGATGGCTCACGAATCATTAATCATCACTCGGTATGAAGCTTTTGGCTTCATAACGCCCTTCAGCTGGGCCGAGTAGAGCCTAGATTTGTGACGCGGGTTAACCGGTAAAAGTATCAGAGAGAATTATTGATATATCGCCTGCGCTTCGTGGAGCGAAGTGGAATCGTCATAATCACGTCCCGGGTCGCACTTTTCTACTATTTAGAGTTGGCCGGTCTGGTATGTTCCAACGAAATCCCGGCGGCATCGTGTTTGATTCTCCGGGTATTCATCACCCACTCTTTGCTCATAGTTCAGAGGAAATACGTTTAATCTACATAGGAAATCTAACTAACACGAATTTTATCGGCCCACAGCCCCCGAAACCTCTCTCTTGGTGTAAAAAAGGACATTAATTAAATCACCCGCGTGAAAAACCCTTGACATTATAAAACTCTTCAAAGGGCAAGCATAGCCCCCAAGATACCTACTACAACTGCTGAGATCGCCGGGCGGTGATTCGGGGCGGAACCCTGGAAGACGGGGGGCTGCACTTGGGGTCCGGGAGCTGCATATTGGGGCTCTTTGGGGGAGGGATAAGGCGGCGCTGGCGCACCCAGTGGAGCCCCCGGTGGGATGGGGATCGGATAGGATCTTTGAGGAGCACTAGACGGCTTTGGAAGAGAAACTTCCACCTCATGCTCTATTTTGTCAGAGGGGACCTCATGTGTGAATAGTGCCGGTGGCGGCCGGGAACCTGGGCCGGGGCCAAACTTCGGGCGTTCTAAGGGAGTGCTGGGTGTTTGGCCAACTTCTGTGTAAAGTCAGCATTATACTTGATGGAGGGAATAGTTGTAGAGAAAATGTACTGGAGCCGATGCCAGGGCCGAAGAATGACTCCGATTCCCGGCCAGATGGGCGAGGTACTAGTGGCTGTGCTCCCGTAGTTGGAGCTTCAAAATCAATCTCAATCTCGAAATCCTCAATTTCGATATCGGTCTCCGGACCCTCAATCCCGATCCCAACATCCGGAGCGGGGGCTGGAGCCTTGGGAATCTTATGAACTTCAATCTCACGAGCTGGTCTGGGAGCAGGAGTAAACCTTGGCTTAGCGATAACCTGGGCGGGTTGAGTGATGACCCGAGAAGGCCCGATGATGGTCTCGGCGGGTGCAGTAACAACGACCCCTGGGCACTTAGGGCAAACCCGGGTAGTTGCAATCCTACAGGGAATGACTACAGTCTCTCCAGGCACGGTAATGATTTTCGCTGGCTGGGTTATCACTATTGGTGGTTGGAAAATTTCCGAAGTGACGGTGATGACCTCGGCAGGGCATGGTATCTTAAGAGTCTCCACGACCGGAGTAGGAGCTCCGGGGACATTGACCACACTAGTGAGCATAATCTCTTTGGTGACGAAGACCTCCTGGACACAGGGTATTTTGACTTCCTGGGTAATATAGACTTCCTCCTTCTCCTTAACTGTCACCGGAACTTTGACCGTATTGACAACAGGAGTGGGGACGCTATGAAGGAATTTAGTGACGACTTGGCCAGGCAGTACAACTTCCTTGGTCACGGTCGTGGCCAATGGGGTAGCAATTCCGGGGATATATATCACTGTAGGGACGGGCACTTCTTTAGTGATGCAGACCTCCACAATTTCCTCTTCCACGATAGTAACGGGAATCTTGACCTCTTCCGAGATGTAAACATTTTTCTCTTCCGTAACTGTGACCGGGATGGTGACTTCTTCCGAGACGTAAACCTTATTTTCTTTTGTCACCGTCACTGGTATCCTGACCTCCTCGGATATGTAAACATTCTCCGGAATAGTCTTGGGGGCCGTAGTGATGACGACTTTGTTCTCGATAGTCACGGTTGCCTGTTGGGTGACTGTTTTTGGCGGGATGGTGACCAGAGCTTCCTTTTCAATGATAATGCTTTTCTTCTCAATGACAGTGGTAGGAGGGATTGTTTTAGTGATCTGCACAGTGACCTCCCGCTCGCATATGACGGTCTTACCAGGGAGGACAATCTCTTCGATAACAGTCTCTCCCGGGAGCACGATTGTCTCAACCACCGTCTCACCAGGGAGTTTTTCGTAAAACGTCTTGCCGGGGAGTAGGACTTGCTTAGTGATGGTCTCCCCGGGTAACTTCTCGAAGCACGTTGGGCCCGGAACCTTCTCGGTAAAGGTCCGTCCTGGAAGTTGAATTTGCTCGATGATGGTTTCCCCAGGCAGTTGCTCGATGTAAGTCTGTCCTGGAAGTTGGATTTGCTCAATGATGGTCTCTCGGGGAAGCTGAATTTGCTCCACATATGTCTGTCCAGGAAGTTGAATCTGCTCAATTACGGTCTCGCCTGGGAAATGGACCTGCTCGATGACTGTTTCTTTGGGGATGACATACGTGACGGGAATAAATTCGATTGTCGGAGGGCAGGTAATGCAAGGTTTATGTGTTGATTCAACCTGCACGACTTCGGTAACAGAGACAACTAGAGTGACCGGCGAAGGCACCTCAACAACCTCAGCCGCGCCCACAACATCTCCTAGAGCATTGAGATAGAAGAAGTTCTTCTCTTCATTGAACATAAAGTTGTTCTCGGCAAAGTTTTGCTCCGCAACGGCAGCATTCTTGTTCGCGAGGTTGTTCGGGTTTTGGTTCTGATTCTCGTTAGAGGATGCCACCCGATTCTGATTCTCATTGGCGTTGTTGATATCATTCGAGTTTGTAATGATAATATCGGGGAAGACGATGTCGGTCATTCCGACGGGCATAACACCACCCGGAAGGAAAGTCGTTCCTTGCTGCTGGGCGCCAATAGCAGCTCCTCCGGCAGATTTCCCAACATCAACGTTTACATTCTTTTCGACGTTCTTGGCAACCGCGACCTCCTCATTTCTGTTTTGATCGGGGTCGGTGTTCTCGTCCGTGTTGGTTCCATTTAGCACCGGTACCTTCCCGGTATCGACCGTATTGGATGAATCCCCAGCTTTTTTAAGGTTAAGGTTTTTGGCTTTATTTTCCGTGTTGGCAACTTTGGTATTTGTATTCTCGGAGTCGTTGTTGTCATAGACGTTCCCCCCTTTGTAAGTATTCTTCCGTACAAATGGGCGATGTTGCGGCGGGAAGATGACATCTTTCTCTTCGATCATGAAATAAGGTCCGCCCACGACAAGCGGGGGTGGAGGGAAATACGCAAAGGGTGGTGGCGGTGGGTAGAGAGCTGGCCCAGGGGGTCCCGGAGGAGGAGGGCCAGCTGGAAGAGGACCAAACGGAAGAGGGCCAGCCGGAAGGGCACCAGCCGGAAGGGCACCAGCCGGAAGAGGGCCATCCGGAAGGGGACCGGCCGGAGGGGGACCAGCCGGAAGAGGGCCAGGTAGAGAAGAGCTAGGTAGAGGAGGTCCTGCTGGAAGAATCCCTTTTTGAGGAAAGCCAGTTGGAGGAGGGCCAGGCAGAGGGAGGCTCGATGGAGGGGTGCCTGACGATGGAGGACCCGATGGCGGGGGGCTTGGTGGTGGAGGACCCGATGGGGGGCTTGGTGGTGGAGGGCCTGATGGAGCGGGGGCTGATGGTGGAGGGCCTGATGGAGGGAGGGC